AAAGGGACAGCAGGAAAGTAATTTGAAGTTGTCAATTAGTAATTAGCACTTAGCCAAAGTAACTGGATAGAGTTTTTCCTTATGGATAAAATTATATTGTATTTCTATTTAGAGTATGGATTGATTGATTGATTATGTGCCATTAAGTCAATGTTGACTCTTAGCAACCACATAGATTTTCTCCATAATGATCTGTCCCTAACCTGGTCTTTCAGTCTTCCAGTGGTGTACCCATCACCACTGTAACTGAGTCCATCCACCTTGCTGCTGGTTGTTCTCTTCTCTTTCTTTCCACCTTTCCCATAGGTCTTTGCATAATGTGTCCGAAGTAGGATAATTTGAGTGTTTCAATTATTTCTAAATGTACACCTATAGGAAAAATAGAATTTCAAACTGAATACATTAACACCCTGTTTGGTTCTCCTTTTCGATGAGGGATTTTCTTCTTGTTGGTCATTATAAGTGATGTAAGGCCGCTGTACCATCAGTTACACAATGGAGATACAGAGAATTATGGAGATTCTGAATCCTACAGGAGGGAAACCTGTATGTGGTTTATGTGGTTTATAGGCCTGACAAACTTTTGCGGCTATATGTACACACACTACTACTAGGGGTAGCAATTATATTTATAGTTGTGCTTATCTTTTCATACCAGGGAGTTATTTTTACTGGTAATTTGGATCCATGTTGCCACCAATGGCCAAAATGGAGCCAGCCTAAGGGTTTGGGTGTCTTCAGCCTTTCTTCACTTGCACCTAATGATAGCACAAATATGCTCCAGCAACATATTAATTGTGGGTATCACCATGACATTGCCTTCAGCTCATCCCCAGCTGGTGCATATGACAGGATCTTTGGCCTTCCCATTTTCATACCTCACAGTTCTTTATCCAAAGTATCCCTTTTCATTTCAGCTCATTTTTGCCCAATTTTGTTCCTTTCTGTCTCATTAATGATTTATATTAAATCACTCTCTTCCTAGAACAGTGGCAGGAACCTATGGCCACGATGGCTGAAGCCACTGAAGGATTTTATAATCAGTGAGAATTGCCTAAGCAAAGGCAAACTATAGGCAAATCTATGCAGGTTATTATGTGATTATTTCAAGACCATTTTTGTCATCAACGAAATCAAAGTAAACTGATGTATTAAAAGTGATAATGCTGTATTGCCAAGTTACCTGCATGCCTAGAGAAAATAAAAGTAATTGTTTTCTCAAATAGCTGTTGCTGAAGAACACAAGAGGCTTGTTCTTCAGAAGGGATTGAACCCATCTTTCTAGGAGCACTATTGGCATGTCATAGCATCAGACTGATTCTTCACATATCCATGCAGAAACCCATCACATTGTCTGAGTTAACTCTGTGCTAAGCTGTGCTAATGAGCTGGGAATAGAAGATAGGTCAAATCTCATAGGGCACAGGGCTCATAAGAGAAGTGGGGGCAGCAGATGCAGAATTAGCAAAGAGGTCAAGTTAAAAGGCCATCAGAGGGGACTCTGGGAAGCAGAAGTTTGGAAATAGAAGTGATAGTTAGCATCAAAGGATTACCTACCCGAAAAAAAATCCAGCAGATAACATGATGCAAATCTGATTTATGCAGGGATGCTAGCCAGTAAAACTTAAAATTTTAGATAGAAATAGTTCTAATGTTTAGAAACAAAAAAAGGTGTATTCTAGGTGCACACATATCTTAAATTTGTACCATCAGTTGCTAAAAGATTCATGTTTAAAATTTTGTAGGTTTGAGCTTGAAGATAGAGAAAAAAATGCTCATTTTGTACTTCTGCATCAGGATGAGTCAGGCTATCAGTTGGGAAGGGAAAACAGCTGCGCAAGAAACAGGGAGGTTAAAAGGGAGAGGCAAAACTGCTTGACTGTTCTGATGAAGCTTGGCTAGAATACTATCTTTTAAATGAATAATAAAGTGGAAAAACTGGAACACTGAGGCATCTTTCAATCAGATGCAGTTGATGACAACTATGATGTCTCATTTCGAGAAGTGTCTTGAGAAATTCTATGACTAAGGAGTAAATTCTATGTCTAAGGAGTAAATCACAAAGAATTTCTCTTCAGGAGAAACCTAAGGGAGTTCTAGCTTGTGTCCTATCCTAGATGTAGTTCAGACAGAAAGCTTAAGCTGGGATAGCTGGGAACAGCTGCAGTGGTAGGAATCATTTCAATAAGTCAGTAACCAGATATCAAATGAATAAATTCAGTCAATATACAAAAACATAGTCCATTAGTTCAAAGACAACTGCATTCAGGAGCTGAGTAGTGGGCTACTTATACTAGTATTGCTAGACAGATATCAAAACTATTTCAGTATTGACCTACTGCCAAGGCAGTGATTTCAGAATGTTTATCCTCAGACTCAGCTGCTGTTTATCTAGAGGTGAAAAGGTTTGTTCAGGACCAATAACTGGCTTTTCTGTGGAAAAGTGTACATGAGTGTTTCTATGCCTCTTTGCTTGCTGGCTCTAGCAGTTGACTCGTGCACTTGCAGAGACTTGGCAGAGCCTCCATGTCTGGGTTGGAGTCAGCTAATGGATCTCTGGACATAGCAGATGACAACTCTGGCATAGTCTCCAAGTAGATCCCTGATCTAAATTTTCTTGAAGCTCTGTTTGGTCCTCATGAGGATTCCATGAGAGAGTCATGACAGGTTAAATTAGTGTTTTTGAAACTTGGCAACTTTAAGATGTGCAAACTTCAACTCCCAGAATTCCCCAGCCAGCATGTTGGCTGGGGAATTCTGGGAGTTGATGTCTACACATCTTAAAATTGCCAAGTTTCAAAAACACTGGGTTAAATGAAGCTCTGAGATCCAAGGAGTTATTAGATTTTTTAGAGAAATATTTTGCCTTAGACCATCTCTATGGAGAAGGAATTCACGTAACAAACAATAGTGAGTAATCAGATAATAATTATCTTGAATGATTCTATAAAATATATCTGTATCTAATAAAAAAAAACCCCAAAAACCTCAGTTTTGCCAGGGAGCGATACCTGGTTCTAATTGGGGCTGTGATACAAACGAACATTGGTAGGCAGAGCCAAGGGGTGGGAAATAAGCCAGTGCAAGTAAATCTAATTATTTCTCCTAATCCTGTCCTGAAATAGCCTAAGGAAGCTTATAATTAACTAATAAAAAATAGTTTGCTAATAGTGGTTCGGAGGGGTTGAGTGCTGTGACTCAGGGTTTAGTTGTGTTAGGATAGGTGTGTTTCATTTATCATCCCTTAGAAGCAGCTACACCACTTGACATTTGACATATAATTTGTCCAGAGTTTGAAACAAAATTTGTTAGGAAAAACTCATTTATGAAAAAGATGTTTGAAACTATTTGTGTATTGAACAAAACAGAAGTTTGGTAAGGACGAAGAGATCCACACAGCAATGCCCGAAGTGTACTTTTGAATCCACAGGAGCTACTTGTTCTGGGGCAAGCAACATTAAGGTCCAGAATGCAGAGTGGGAAGGGGGAACCAGCAAATGAACCTACATTTCTGCAAAAATACAACAGTGGGGAAAAACTGATGAACGTGTATACATTGATTTTCCTTTTTTCTTCTGTTGTCTCTTTCCTATTCTGCATCTTAAAATATTTAATTTAAACATATCCTAGGAAGAAAGCCAGAAGTAGGCCAACTCCCTATACCATGCCATAATAGAGGAGTGCTAAAACCTAGTTTAACCCACACAGTTGCCCCACCTGCTCTGCATAATTTAAATGTACGTCAATTTCATTTGCTAAATAGCTGTTGCTTTCTTAGTCAGCTTTAACGGCTAATTGGTATAACTACAATGGAGTAAAAGGGAGTGTTTTGTACATCCTACTCTTTCCTGCCTTATCGGCTATTCTGGGCACTTATAAATGTAATGGAAAAAGGGACACTAGGGGCACCTTTCAGTAAACATTGTACAATGGTAACAATGCTTACTGTATACCATAGTAATGAACAGACAGGCTACTTACTGAAATAGGGATCCGGAGATTTCTGGATTATCACTACTACCTCCTGTCTTTATTATAAAGTCACCTCTGCTGACAAACAGTCTTATCCTACAATAAACATCTGAAAGTATGATAATCCCCCTTAAAATACTGGAAGCCCTTCCCTCTGCAAATCCAATTCAGTCTTCTCTACCCTGGTGTCCTAAAATTTGTTTAAAATCTAGATGAGCTAACAAATGCCTCTGTATTTTCCTGGAAAACTATTTTCCAAAGTTCTAATGATTCCAGGGAGCAGAGGCAAGGCACAGCAGCTTGGAAGGAATTAATGTTGTACAGTCAGCTCTGTTTCTAAGCAGGTGGGTGTATAAAACTTCACAGATAAAATTTTCTGGAATTCTTTACCATACTTTCCTTATTGTTCACTTAATCTGATCTAATAATCTCCACCAACCACCCCTTCCTCCAAATCCTGCTGGAATTCATAGTTTTCCTCACTAGAAAGCTATCAGTCCCTTTTGAAGGAGAGAGGACTGATAGTCAACTCTTAGAAGTATTATGTGTCTTGGTTTGGTTAATATGGTTGAAGGAGAGTCCTGTGTAATGCCCTAACTTTCTGGGAACTTTATGAGTTAGTGGCTTAGACTGAGAAGAGGAAGTGACAGATTTTTTGCCTTTCCTCCCTTCCTTCCCATGCTTCATAGAAGGGAATGAGGATGGGACTTCCCTCCTTCTTCTAGTCCACACTTCAAAGATGCCAGGCACTTGCTCCAGTCTCTTCACTAGCTACTTAGTATATCTAGTGGCATATCTAAGTACTAGAATTTCAAATGTTGGGCTCAGTGTCATATGGTCTTATCTCAGGAATTGTTCAGGTCATCATGTAATGAGGAAAGAGGTATAGAAAGTAAGGAAGATGACCTTGATGGAGATATGCAGGAAATATTACCTAGGCAAAAAGGGCTGAAACGTTTTTTAAGTCCAGAACAATGAGATAACATTCAGAAGCGGCTCAGGCAGATGCTTCTCTAATTCACTGAACCATAAGGAGGAGGAGGAGGAGGAGGAGGAGGAGGAGGAGGAGGAGGGGCAGCACCATCAGACTCACAAGATTCCATTATTATAGTCAGTCTCAGTAAAAGTGGTTTTAGCTTTCCTGTGGAGTTGCTTTCCTGGTCCGGTCTACCTAGTGGGGCTGACAAAGTTGATCGTTATGGATAGACGTTATTCCTTGGAGAATTGGATTCTGGAAAGAATTGCCCTGTTTGCCAGCTGCCCCACCTTTTCAGTAATGCTATCCAAGGAATTTGGCAGTAATGTGGGGCTGTCCTTTCTTGTGTGGTGTGCATTGTAGCCACAGTGTCCTTGACTGGTTCCCAATCTTCTTAGCCTTTTTTTCTTCAGTATGGTGGAACACTTTGGATATGTTCTCCCTTGGAGTGAGGTGCCTCTCTCTTATACAGAAAATACCTATAATGTTTGATTTTCAAAAGCCCCACATACTGGAACAATCCATTCAAGGGTAGTCTCCTCCAATGTAGGGAAAGTTGACATGTTAGGTTCCTGCAGGATCTTCTAAACTAACAGCATCCAACTGTACACTGTGCCCAGCACAGTCTGTATAATAAATTGCTGACAACACCATGAGGCAAATGTACAAGAAAGTCCCAATCATCTGGGCTCTATTTGTAGCTAGAGATGAAGGAGTTAGGTCCCTCATGCCTCCTCAGCCGTAGCATCAATTCCTGCGTAAGTGAAGTTCTCAAATAATGCCATGTTCACATATGCCTGACAAAGGAGAAACAGAATCATGTTGAAGGCTACTCAGCAGGGAGATTTCTTCTCATCCTTTGTTTTAAATTACATTTTCCTCCTAGTTTTAATTACAGACTAAATGATAAGAGTAACTCATGATCTAACCTTACACTGAGATAGTGCTCAGAGTAAGCTCCACACCATGCTTGATATACATCCCACTGCTTTGTATCTCTAAGGACTACCTGTATCCCACTATTCTAAAATAAATTGAGAGATACAATTGACAATGTGTCCTTTTCAGCTGAAGGCCATGATAACAGTGCCTTGATTATTCTATTGGTGACATTGGGCAGTGATATCGGATTATAAATACTCCAGAGCTCACAATAATTGTTTAGATCACAGCAGGAATATCTCCTGATATCAATACCTTCCTAGCTTCTAGCATGCGAATGAGCTGCACTGAGATCTGAGCAAATGGTGGACGTTCATATGGCCGGTCCCGCCAGCATTGACGCATTAATTCATACCTGTAGGAGGAAGGGACAAGTTAAAAACAACAACAACAAAGACAAAACGTGAGGGAAGAGGAACTGCCAGGATGGTCTACCCTGAACGGCTAGTCTGTTTCATCTCTCTTAAGCATTTCCAGCAGAATGAAACAACGAGAAAGCCAAGTCCTAGTTTACCAGTTCCCATCAATGGAATGTGATTGAATATACAATGTACAGAATGTAGGGGATGAAATATTCAGAAAGTGAATGTTTGAATAGGGCCTCCACTTACACTTCATCATCACAATTGAGAGGCTTCTCCATGCGGTATCCTTGCGGCAGCTTTTCATAAAGCTCAGCACACGTCATGCCACAATATGGTGTCCCTCCTAGCAAGAGGAAAGCCAGATCAGACAGGACACCATATGTACCCATTTTGGGATATAAAGCATATGTATAGCAGCCTTCTACTACCAGGACAAAGCCTTGAATGCTGCCATCTCTTCCAGAACTGTCCATTTCTATATTAGTACCATATTATCTTTTGTCTCCACCCAGTGAAAAGTCTAGCATACTTGGAAATATCAAGGCAGCAAGAATGAGGTGGGGTGCTAACTTATGTAAAACTTTTCTTATCCCTCAAAATAATCCTCAGAATGTCCACACTTTGTGCTTTCCCCCAAAGTAAATGTTTTAATCTGATTATTTCACCTCCCTGAGACAATGTGAAAGAAGTTCTCATGCCACAGAGAGAAGTCTGAGGAAGTGGAACAAATGAGAAGAACAAGCCGTACAAAGCAGTGTGGGGCCCAAATAGGGTGCAGACAATCGAAGGACAGTTGAGGGAACAGAGTCCAGCCTGTTCCCACTAGATAGGAACTTACCCAGGCTCACAATTTCCCACAAAAGGACCCCAAAGGACCACCTGCAACAGAAAGATAAGTTAGGATGTGGGCTGTGGTCCTTTAGTACATTTAGCCTAGTTATAGAATGTGTTGATTTTTTGAAGATTATTTTTGTTCTGGCCTCTTACATAACAGAGAAAGGAAAAGAAAACATTAAAAAGTCAGTATCTTCTGTTTACTAATTGTAAGTCATTTTACATGTCTTTCAATATCTAAAAACTTGCTGGATGTCAGCTCCTATCATTTCTAGCTAGCATGGACAACCTACCTAGAGGACAGCAAGTTGGAAATGGCTGAATCAAACATTGCCCCCAACGTACCTTTCTTATCATGTCAGCCAAGAAAAGGATCAAAAGACTTGGTGGAAGACTGAGAATTGCCTACCATTTGAAATCTGAGGTGAACCCTGTCCCCAAAGGATAAGTCACTCACACATCACTCTTGGTTGTATATACGCTGTAATTCAAGGATTCAATGGCCATCCAACGAACTGGTAAACGTCCCTGCAGAAACATTTTTGAAGAATCAGAAATTCACAAGGGAAGGATGGGCAACAAAGAAAAAGAGATGGAGCAGTGTTCTCTTCAAAATAGAAAAGAACCCTAAGCAGTGTGGGAGAATGTTTCCCGAGGAATATTCTACTTATTCTAACTCCACTTTGCTGTGATTCTCTACCAAGCTCACCATTGTCTTCTTTACATAAACTTCCTCTCCTCGGGACAAACCAAAATCAGCAATCTTGGAGGTCAAGTTTTCACCCACCAGTATGTTCCTGGCAGCCAGGTCTCGGTGGATAAACTAGGGAAGAGACAACAATAATAAGCAATATAGCTAGTGGCAGAGAACGTGGGCACTCTGTTTTACAGGCGATAGCAATAGTCACATATTCTACTGTGAATGGACTGGAATTCCTTGGTGCATTTCAAACCTAACACTTCACATGGAGTTCTTTGAAAATGCAAGACCATCTGTGATTCAAAATTCTACCTCATTCAGTCCTAATTCATAGTAGGACAATTTCCAGTTGCCTCTAGCTCTTAATAATTCTCAATAATTCCTTCTGAAAACACTTGTACTATTCTAGTCCTGTGAAGTCATTCCCTAGAATGCTTATACAGTGGTACCTCTAGTTACGAACGCCCCTCCTTACAAATTTTTCGAGATACGACCAGCGCTTATACAGTGGTACCTCTAGTTACGAACGCCCCTCCTTACAAATTTTTCGAGATACGACCAGCTCAGGCCCCAAAAATTTACCTCGTGTTGCGAACCACCTCGAGCTACGAACCGGATCCGCGGCCATTTTCCCTCCCGTGACATGTGGTCTGCGGCCATTTTTCCGCCCGTTCCATGTGGTCCGCGGCCGTTTTTCCACCCGTTCCACGTGGTCCGCGGCCGTTTTTTCGCCCTGCCACGTGGTCCGCGGCCGTTTTTCCACCCCTGCCGCGTGGTCCGCGGACGTTTTTCCGCCCTACCGCGTGGTCTGTGGCCGTTTTTCCGCCCTGCTGTGTGGTTCGCGGGCACCGGAATGGATTAACGGTAATTAAAATTAACCTTATGGGAAAATTTGCCTCGTGTTACAACCAATTCGAGTTGCAACCAGAGTCACGGAACGGATTAAATTCGTAACTTGAGGTTCCACTGTAGCTCTACCATTCTGAGAATGTGAAACACAGCAGAGACAGAAGCTACATGCATAGTCCTTCTCTGTTTACCTCCCTGGCTTTCCCAGCTGATTCCCATAGAATAGCTGATTGGTGAGTCCAGAGAGTGGGGCTGTTTGGCATACAGACCTGTTTTTCACTCAGATACTGCATGCCTTTAGCTACATCAGATGCAAACTGCAAGAGCTGCTGGGACGTGAGGGTTGAGGCGGTTCCATGCTCCCTGGCAAAGGCAGGATCTGTCTCCAACACTCGGCTTTTGCGTAGGAAATCTAGCAAATTCCCATAGGGTGCATATTCAATAGCGATGTATAGGTAACCTAGAAGATTAGGCCAAAGTCTGTCAAACTGGGTCATCTCAGTAACTCAGCACAAATATAAGTGAATGTAAGAACATTAGTACAAGTATACTGGATCAGACAGGACTTATCTACACCAGCCTGCTGTTGCTACAGTGATTGATTATACCCATGGGAAACCCATAAGCAGGGGGGCAAATGTATAATAGCACCTTCCCATTCAAGATACCCAGCACCTGCTTTTGACAGCAAATTACCTGTAATAGTGAAAGTAACCTGTATTTATCATGACAAATAGTTGCTGATAACATTAGTCTCCATGCATTTATTTATGCCATTTTTTAAACCATCCAAGTCTATGGCTATCACTCCACCTTATGGCGAATTCCATAGTCTAACAAGGCACTGTGTGAAAAAAAAAATCCTTTTGCCTGTCCTTGATCTCCCATCATTTAGTTTATTGGATGGTCCCAGGTTCTAGTATTATGAGTGAGGAAGTTTCTACCCTATCCCATTCTTTGCTTTTTAATTTTCTCAAAAAAACCCTAATCTTGCTTTAGCTTTAGCAACATTTGATTTGCTTTATTTTATTCTTTTTAAGGGCGGTGACCAGAGTTTTACACAATGTTCTCAAGTTAAATATGCCCATAGATTTGCACAACAGTATTATAATACTGGCCCTGTTATTATTATGATACACATGTGTTTTGTCCTTTTATTCATGTTTCCTAATAGGAATATACTTTGTTCAGAACGACCACCCAAAGATTTGGGGTTTTTTTCCAAATAATTTTATTAAAGATTACAAATAGAAAAAAGAAAAACTAATACAGACCACAAAAAATATAAAAAGAGGAAAAAGAGAAAGAGAAATAGTGTAAAAAAGAAAAAGAAAAAAAAAGGTGGGGAGGGGAGAAGTGGCTTCCCTATTCATCCCAAGAAGTATAAAGAATTTTAGTAGCTTATCACCATCTCTTAATACAACATATACTCTCTTCACCCCATAACCTATCTCTTAACTAAAAACAACATCCAAAAGCCTTGTCATTCGTTCCTTATCAACAAAAGTCCAATAAGGGATACCACATATAACTACTTATCTATTTTAACCTTGATCAAACAAGCCAACCCTGTATTCCTTCCCTGTATTAAGTCCCAGAGCTGGATTTCTGTTCATCTTTTTTTTGTCCCAAGAACAAACCTCTTTTGTACAGAGGTTTTTAACAGACCTCTTTTGTACATCCAGTAAGTAAGGTTTGTCCTTTTTTTGTCACTTCTCAAATGATCCTTCAAAACTTTAACAGACCTCTTTTGTATATCCAGTAAGAGAAAGTTATCCAAATCACTTTTCTGATTTAGTAATTGTACATCTCCTTTAAACAACAAAACTTCAACCAGTTTCATTTGTATATCCAGTACATCTTTCTCTATATCCTTCTCATTACTTGTCAGATTTAAATGTATATTCCAGTTGGTTTCAAACTTATCTGATATAGATTGTTCTTCTTCTGTAGCTTCATTGACACACCATCCATCCATCATATCAAATAATTTTGAGGACCAATGTTCAAAAATATTTATCAAAAGTTTTTCGCTCCATTCTTTATTGACAAGGCAAATTTATTATCCTCTAGCTCCCTCTAGTATCAATTCTTCAAAGGTCAATTATCATGTTTCCTCTTAAAGAAACTCAAACAATCGCCATTTCCCATGGAAGGATTCTTTTAATTAATTTAAAATCCTCAAGAAGAATTCTTCTAATTATTTCAAAATTATAATTCCAAGTCCATCTGGACCCTTAATCCATTGTTAACTTTCCAAAATCAATATTCTAAAAGTAATATTTTTCCAAAACTTTAAAATCATATTTAAAAATTCTTTCTCCAAGGAGAAGATGACTCACCCAGTGAATACCATATAGCTTGCCATTCCAAAAGGTCTTAATATTTCCAAGGCAATAAAAAAAAAAGCAAATCTGAGGTGATTAAGAAATGAGGCTTGGTCGAGCTTAATGTCCTTTCAAAAGGCTGTGTTCATGACTATGAGCAAAGATAGTTCCTCCCTTGACTCCCAGCTGCTCAACTCATAAGCAGACTGCAAATTATCGATTCCTGCGGTTTACTCATGAGGAATGGCTGTGTGGTGTCACATGGGCTATCTCAAGATCTCCCCTTGCTCCAGGGAGATATCAGCAGCCAGGATCCTGCATCCAGCTGCTGATCTCCATCGAAAATGCTGTCCCCCTGCAAGAGGGATGTATAGCTCCCCATAGTGCTCACTGGAAGTCCCCAGTCATGTGTGGATTGAGCCACCTGCTGTAACCTCAACTGCTTTTCCTGACAACCAGCTCAGATCCCAACACATTTATACACTACAGTGGCATGCAAAAGTTTCAGCACCCTTGTTCAAATCATATGTTTCAGTGAATCACTAAGAGAACAAAAAGTGACCCAACCTCTAAACGGTGCCTAGTGAAACATGATATCTTTCTGCAGATTTGAATGCCTTTTGATTATTTGTGTGCAGTTGTTCACAGATTCAAAATAACAGTGAATATGGCAGGTGCAGAAGTTTGAAACCCTTCCGGTTGATTGCCTCTTCCCTTCTCCTTCCCCTTTCTTTCTCTCTCTCTTGTGGTTAATTATATTCCCCCAAAGGTGGTTGACTCTTTAGGTTTGCAATAGTTAAGAGAAGACAATATAACAGATGAACAAATAATCTCAGCCTTTCGACCCTTCAGATTGTGATTGTTGTTCTTCCTACTTTTAACAACTTTGGGCTACTCTAAGCAGTTGTCTGAGCATTTACAAATGAAGATAATTTTCTCTTTCAAAGCAGAGGAAGTCTAGCAGGATTGGGATAGGTGCTGGAATTCACCCCGTCCTCTGTGACTTCTTGGTGGCTTTCAATACCATTGATTATAGTATCCTTCTGGATTGAGTTCAGGGTTTGAGAGTGGGATATTGTAGTGGTTCTCCTTTCTTTGGGGCTGGTACCAGTTGGTGTTGGTGGGAGAGAAAAGATTGAGCCCAAGACCGCGGCTTGTGGGGTCCTCAGGGCTCAACACTCTCCTCTCTCCTATTTAACATCTCCATGAGACCATTGGGGGGCATCACCTGACAGCATAGGATCAAGTATCATCAGTGTAGTGCTGATACCCAACAGTCTGTCAATCCCTGGTTGACCAAGTGATGCTTGTTGATGTATTGTCCCAGTGGCTGGAAGCAGTTAGAGTCTAGAAGAGGAGAAATAAGCTCAAGCCCAACTCTAGCAAGACTGAGTGGCTTTGAGTACAAAAAGACCTAGTGTATTTCTGAGCTAGGAGACCTCTACAGGGAAAAGAGGGGAAAGCAACTTATATTCCAAAAGCAAGAATATAATGACAGAAAAAGTTTGGAAAGTGTAATTTCTGCCAAAGTATTGACTGAAAGGGGTTGAAACTTCTGCACCTGCCATATTCACTGTTTTCCTATTTTGAATATGTAAACAACTGTATATGAACAGTATGTATAACATTTACAGAAAGATGTCATATTTAACTTTTAGTATTTATCTTTAGAATATATGCAGTCCACCTTCAAAACGTTTGGACAGGGATGCCTAAAATTTTGCATGCAACCATAGATAGAAATGTTTGCTCTAACATACTTCACTGCATGTTATACATTATATGTATATGCTTAATGTATATGTTATATGTATATACATTAAAATACATTTGCAGTTTTAATACCCATCTCCCCAGTATGGAGAGAGACTTTGAACATTTTGCCCTCCTTTGCTGGTCTATCAATTCTATGCAACAGGATGTGGCTGGATTATATTTGCTTCAGGAGACACGTCATTCTGCCTCACCATGGTGAAATGTTAACATCAGTTAAATATTGGGCAGGGTCATTCTGACTCAATCAGTTGATCTTCCTCAGGGACCATCTTGATTGTAATGATTCTGCCCATATTGTAAGATCATTTAGGAGGGCCTGCTTAAGAACCAGCCTCATATGAGGTGAGGGGGTTGTGGTATAGAAAGCAGATCTTCATAATTCAGACTTCTAGGGGAGGAATGGCAGACTGAAGATGTCTCTGAAAGTGGAGCCGATAACCATGGTGAATAATAAAGAGCTGGTGAGTAGACCGGCTCTTTGGAACCTCTTTGGACAAGGGAAGGACAGGAGATTGCCCACATGTGCTCTGGATGGCTGCTTCTCATGAAAAGACTGCAAGACAGTGGTCTCCCACAGGTTTGAGTGCTGGGAGATGACAGGATTAGCAATCTTACTTGCAACTACACTCAGCACCTTTTAAAGGACACTAAGTTGGCTAACCTCACTTGCTAATT